CTGGTGGTTCTCTGATGTCCAGGCACGAAGTTTTAACGCTCAGCAGGAGTGTGAGAGCAGCCTGGGTCTGGAAGAGAGTGTAGAAACTGTGAAAACTGCAGTGAAGGATCTTGGCCCCTTCGATGGCATCCTGGGCCTTAGTCAAGGTGCCGCCCTGGTGGCTATGCTGTGTGCCCTGCAAGAACAAAAGCTAGAGCCTGCTTTTAATTTCCACTTTGCCATCCTGATCGCCGGATTCCGCAGTGTCTGTTCCCAGCATCGGCGCTTTCACGAAGTGCCGGCGATAACAATCCCCTCTCTGCATGTGTTTGGACAGGAAGACCGTGTAATTCCAGAGGAGATGAGCTGAGATCTGCTGCCAGCGTTTGATGGAGCTCAAATCCTCATTCATCCCGGTGGACACTTTGTTCCAGCGGCATCTTCGCACAGGCAGACATACCAAGACTTCCTCAAGAAGTTTCAGTGAGATGATAAAAGAGTATCTGAGAGTTCCTGGAATAAATCAGGTCTACATTAAATGAACCACTTGAAATATTGCTACATTATAAAAGCCTTGGAAATTGAATGGTCAATAAAAAGATGTTTTACACTGTTCTCAGGGAAATGGTTACTTGAATAAAGACTTTCACAAGTTTGCAGTGCGGAGTCTATTTGAAGGATATTTTGGGGTTCAAAACAAGCTAGGCTCTGTAGCATGGTGTTGTTTGCCAAAGAAAATAATATTCATGAAATACCTACCTGTTCTATTTCTATTCTAACTATCTGTTCTATTTCTATTCTAACTACTTGTTTTTCTTTTTTATTTAAAAAAAGGACCCTAGAGTTGTCTGTTCTATTTCTATTCTATTTACTTGTTTTCATTTATTACGAAAAAATGGCCCTCTAACACTAGCATTCTCTATTCTTTTGGCTTTTCTTTTTTATTTATTTAAAACATAATTGACACTCTAACACTAGTGTACTCTATTCTTTTTATATTCTTTCGACTTTTCTTAGTATTTTTTTTAATTGACCTTCTAACGCTAGCGTTCCCCATTATTTTTCTATTCTATCTACTTGTTTACTTTTTATTTATTAAAAAAAAAAACTGCTACTGTATTAGACTAACCAAGACTTGTCACAGCACTTGCATATTATTGCTCTTTTGTTGGTTATTATAGCTTCTATTGTCCTCATTTGTAAGTCGCTTTGGATAAAAGCACCTGCTAAATGTAAATGTAATATATGATTATTTTTATTAAATAGAATTGTAAAAAAAAAAATTACAGAATTGCCTTAAGTACAAAGTTTTTGAACCTTTATACAAAAAAAGTTGAAAGTTTTTGTAGAGTATCATATTTGATACATCATGCTTTTATTGCTTAGTATGATATAGGTGAGTATGGAGCTTATACTTGAAAACATCTTTTATTATTCAGAGGCCCAAAATGAGCAAAAAATATGCAATTTGATGCAGTTGCTGATATTTATATGGCTAAAATAATGTTGAAGTTCTAATAGCTTGTAATGTAAATAAATAATATTTTTATAACAGCATAAGCAGACTGATGACTAATTTGGGAAGTCGTGGCCTAATGGTTAGAAAGTTGGATTTGTAACCCTAAGGTTGTGGGCTCGAGTCTCGTACCGGCAGGGAATGTAGGTGGGGGGAGTGAATGTACAGCACTCTCTCCCACCTTCAATACCACGACTGAGGTGCCCTTGAGCAAGGCACTGAACCCCCAACTGCTCCCCGGGCGCCACAGCAAAAAATGGCTGCCCACTGCTCTGGGTGTGTGTTCATGGTGTGTGTTCACTGCTGTGTGACACTTCATTTCCAGTGTTATCGTTGACATGATTGCAAAGATATTATTTAAACTGAGCTGGATGTTGACATCACTGAATTCAATGATGACCTGTCTTTAACTGAAAAATTAGTTTACTATTGTCATTTTGCATTATTGACACTGTTTTCCTAATTAATGCTGTTCAGTTGCTTTGTCACAATCTGTATTGTTAAAAGCGCTATATAAATAAAGGTGACTTGACTTGACTGTGTGTGTGCACTTTGGATGGGATAAATGCAGAGCACTAATTCCGAGTATGGGTCACCATACTTGGCCACATGTCACTTTTTTTCTCTAATTTAAAATGCATTTAAACTCCGGTTGTCACTCTATATCTACCAATAATGTCTTAGTAAGATTATATTAAATGCTTAGTTTTATGATCAAGACTGTAGTTTATATTGCTGGGGTCAAAACATAAAATGCAATGCAATACACTGATGACATAAATACAAATAAACGTTCATCAAAAGCCATTTGATACATTTTAACGTGTTAACATGATGTTGATACAATATATAAAAGTGCTTATATTAATTATTGTATACAAAAAAGTGTGTTAGTGGAGCTGTTATGTCCTTAGGTTGTTGGAATTCTGTTCTGGGGATGAACTTGATATAACTCATGTGGGTGGATTTTCTGAGTAATTTGAGTTTAGTGCTGACACCTGCAGTACCTTCAGTTTCCAGTGGGGGCATTAGTGAGTGTCTTTCCCCTGCAGCTGTTTATCATTTTGATTTCTCTGTCAGTGTCTTGTGTGTGTTTGTGCACGCTCACAGGCAGATTGGGAACTCTGTGTTCTCAGTTTGGCGGCCCAGGATTGCATTTGTGATGATTTCCAGATGTTTGTGGGAAGCACTCCTCTAGTCTCACTCATTCTTTCCAATGTAGCCAGACCGTCCCCGCACCTCTCCCTGGCTCCATCCCTCTCTTATTCTTGTAAATAGTAATAAAACAGCTCTGTACAACAGCTCAGACATTAGGCTGTGATTTATTTTATAAGCAGTTTGCACTGTATCTACTATATGTATATTAAATAAAGTTAACAAAAACTCCAAATTCACCCTGCTTACTTTATTGCGACACGTTTGTGGTTTCATTGTGCACTTTGTCAAAGTCCCTTTAAGACGAGTCACTTCACTCTGTGGCCATCTTGAAAAGGCCCTGAGGCAACTACTTTCTGTGCAAGTAATCGTAGTGCAGCTTCTCTCTGCTTAAAATCTGTATTTTTCTGGTCCAGTTTGTTTGCTAGAGTTTGTTTACTAGAATAAACAATCTATGAAAAGGTTTTTACAGAGCCCCTAAAGGGACATGGTGATAGAGGGATTAGGAAATATTATATCTCAATGCTTTTGCTTTCCCCTGAGAAACTTTTCACACAGGAAAAAAAGTATACCATGATGCTAGCTAAATCCATTGAAATAAAGTGATTCTGAGTGAAATGCTCGGATGAGATCAGATAGGAGGAAAAATTATATTTCCTTTTTTTCGCACCCCAAGAAATTTTGCATTTGCTCAAAAAACTTTTTTTGCATTCCACTGTGAAACTTCACATTCGCTCGCAAACCTTTGCATTCTCTCAAATTATGTGCGAGCAAATACAGAGTTTCTCAGGGGGAACCAAAAGTAAATGCAATTTTTTTCCATTTATTTTTCTATGTGAGATCTTTCTCCTCCTTTGTCTTTTTTTCCTCCTTTCTGGCATTTTTCTATCATCATTTCATCCTTTAGTTTTATATAATTATTATAAATATTCTATATAAATATGCGTAAACTTTTTCATTATTAACACATTTTGCAACAATACCAAGTCAATGATTACATTTTACAGCTTTTTCCCCCTTCGTTTGTTTTTCCCCTCTCTTTCTGTCTTTCTGTTCTTTCCTTCTCAGTGCCACGTGTCTCTTTCTCCACTCAAACACATGGTTTTGATAAATGGAAGACAAGAGAAGAGGAGAAACACAGAAACTCCCTCTTGCCAGTAAGTTTTACAACAGCTCCGTGACTCCCGGCCTCAGGAATCCATGGTCTTACACAACAGCAGTGGTCAGGGTTGAGAGGGAGAGTTGTGTAAGAAATGTCTGAAAAAGATAGACGTGAGTGGTGTATCAGGCTATATTGTGACTCTGCTCGGCTATAGTAGAAGGCAGGATGATGCCAGCAACCTGTGTTAAAAGTAACAGGAGGTGTTTTTTTCTTAGGAATGAGGAAGGTGTGGTTTTGAGAATGTGGGCGGAGCTAAAACATGTTTTTATATGAGTAGTAGGACTCGGTAGATTCATCCTGCACCGTTAAACAATCTTTTGTGTTCTCTCATCCTGAAATCTGATTTAATGGACTATATCACACTATTTCTGGACTTTTGCATTTATTTTTGCTTTCATACTGGAAATCTACATCTTTATGGGAGAATTTGGAGGAGCGATGCCTTTGGAGCAGTGATGATTTTGGGTATCTAGTTTGTCACATGTTGGAGTCATGTATGTATTGTAGGCCTATCGTACAGACAAACATGGTTTAATTTCATTAATATTATTTGTGTTGTGTTTGTGTGTTATATATATATATATATATATATATATATATATATATATATATATATATATATATATATAT